GTGATCCTGAACTTGGCATCGGGGTCGGCCCTGAAGCCGAGCCAGCGAGGCAGGCTCCAGAACTGACCCGGCCCTCCTGCCAACTGGGCTGGCTCCGGGCTGCTGGGAACCTGGAAGGGCTCCGCCTGTCCGTCTTCTCCCTTTATTCAAGGAGGAAACTGAGGCACGCACAGGGCGAGGGGCTTGTCCAAAGTCTTCTCCTCACCTAGCTCAGCCCCTCGCACTGTCCTGCCCGCACAGGCCAGCTGCAGCTGCGCGAGTCTGCTCTGCAGAGGGGAGAGGAGGGGGGTTGTCGGTAAACTAAATCTACAACCAGAAAATCCATTGACGCCACGTAAAATCTGCTCATCCCGGCGATCAGGGAAGCCTGGAGAGACAGTGATGGCTTGGAAAAGAATGTGGAAGACAATTTAGAGAAAAAGCTTTCCCAGAGGAAGGGGGAGAAAGGGAAATCAGAATGAGGGCGAGAACTGCTCGAAGGGTTTCATTCTTTTGTCACGGCAGATGCCACACATTCAGTGCAGCTGGGAAATATGTCTTCAAAGGAAAAACATAGCTCATGCCCACGGGGTGGCTTAACTATCTGCAGAACTTGGGTTCAAAGCCGTCTTTGATGTGTCCGTCCTTGGGGCAGGCGAAGCTCCTGCGTGCAGAAGGGTGGCGCCCACCTTGATCTGAAACGAACCAGCTGCTGCCATTCATTGGTTACGAGGAATAATTTATATCAAAACATTAGCTTAGACTCTATTTAATTCTGGAAGAGTCCTCAAGTAGATCACTCTCTTTGACCTCATTAATTTGGTGAGCAGGGTACTGTCCTTCAAAATCTTCATGTGTCATTTCTGGAAGACAGACACCGTAAGGAATTTCACTTCGTGGTATGTGTGTTCCTTCCAGGACTTGGCTCAATGTTTCTGTTGGTATTAACGGTACAGACATTTTATTCAGGTGAGGAAATTTGGAAGAGGTGACGATGGGATGAAATATTATCATCATCCCTGGCTGCTCTCAGAATGCCAGAGCAAAGCCCGGGCAGTTGAAGAAAATAACTATCAAAGCAAAACCACGAGCGCATCTATTTTCAGAAAGAGAGACTTTAATCCCATGACAATGCTCCGTGACAATGCTCTTATTTTTACCCTGGGAAGCAGTGATAGGTGCAGTAGAGCCTGCAGTATTGAGTAGCTCGGAGAAAAAAAATCTACGCGGTACTGAGGCGAATCAAAGGTCACTTATCCATAAAGAGCTTTTTGGGGGGCGAACACCAACATTTCTTCAACGAGGTGCTGCGGCTCCTTCTCTACAACACGGGGCTTGCTGAGCAGGGCACCCCTCCCCCCCGCCGCCTTGCCCTCTGTGACTGGAGACCCCCCGCCGGGCAGGAGGGGGGGGGCGCGCTGCCCTTGCCCTGTCCCCCCTCCTCCCCGCCCCTTCCCCGGCCCTTCCGGTCGTGCGCCGAGCGGCACCTGTGCCGACGCACCACGTACAGATACCCCTCGGAGGCAGACAGGTTTTTTTCTAGTTGGTTCTTAAGCCATCCGAATAACCGGAAGATTTGAAGCAGGGACGCTGGAAAAAGTGAACTTGTTGAGGGGAAACGTTACGACCGAGACAGGACGCCCCCAGTTCCAAAGATCGCCCGGGACAGGCCTCCCCAAGAAGCCAGGTCCCGGGCGCGGGAGCCGGCGGGTCGGCGCGGCGCCGCCCCCTGTCGGTCACGGTGGGCGCGGCGGCACCGCCGAGGTCCCGGGCCGTGGCCCCTCCCTCCCCGTGGGGACCCTCTTAGTGCCGGGACCCAAACGTGCGAGTGCCCCAGGGGAGAGGGGCATTTGAGAGAAAGATGACATTTTAAAAGGGGGCTGGGTGCAGCGGGGATACGTTCAACATTACACTCCCAACTTTTCTCTCTTTCTCTAGTTAACGTTCATTCCTTTCACGCTTGTAAAAGCGACACGATGAGGGGAAAGTGGTGTGAAAGGCGGTGCCCGGTGCAGGCAGGAGGCCAGCGGCAGGGACTGCGCTCCGAGCACCGCCCGGGCTCGCCAGGATTTGGAGTGGACGCCAGCGCTGCTGCCGTGGCCGCCCCGGGAGACGGGACGGTTGGGGTTGGCTGGCCCGACGGTCTGCAGCGGGGGAGGCGAAAATACGCTTCCCGTTCCAACCCTTCCCGACGAAAATCCTTCCCGAGTGCGGCATTGCTAAACCTCCGACGATCGCCCGACCGGAACGTGAAGGTCGTCCCGGAAATGGGCATCGCCGGTCTGGCCCAGGGGACGGTGGTCACCTCGCCCGACCCACGCGTGAGCCGGAAGCTGTTGCTGCTGCCGCGCCCCTCTTCCTGAAAGTCACCTGCTGAAAGTTCTGGAACTAGGGAGTGGGGCCAACTTGGGTTCTGCACGGGCACGGGAAAATACCAGCCTAGCCCCTCTGGCGCGGGTGCCGTCGGACTCTCCTTTGGCTGTTCCCCCACCCCCACGGCCCCTGCCACCCGCGGGAAGGATCTGCCCCCTGGGGGTCTCACCGCGTCTTCCAGCTCCAGGGTGGTGGCTGCCTGTGTCTTTCTTTTTCTTCTTTTTTTTTTTTTTTAATATTTATTTATTTTTGAGAGAGAGAGAGAGAGACAGAGCATGAACGGGGGAGGGGCAGAGAGAGAGAGGCAGACAGAATCCGAAGCAGGCTCCGGGCTCCGAGCTGTCGGCACAGAGCCCGACGCCGGGCTCGAACCCACAAACCGGGAGATCATGACCTGCAGCTTAACAGACTGAGCCACCTAGGCGCCCCATGTGGGCTGTTTCTAAGTCACTCGCTCCCCCAACCCCCCCCCCCCCAGTGTCCTGTTCTCTCTCTTCTTTCCTACTCCCCCTGTTTCTTCTTTCCATTTCTTCCTTGCCCTTCCTCTGACCCTGGAGTTATTGTCAAATAAATTTAGGTGCAGTCTCTTAAATTCCCAGGAGGAAAAGAGTTATATAGAAAAGTAGTAAACCTTAAAATTAAATTGTTGTGCATGACTCCCATCCTAGAGAAAAGCTATCTTTAGACCACGACCCAAAATTGAAAAATATAAACAACTTAAAAATTATTTCGAGTATCGGTGGGTGTTTATCTTTGAGGTTTCAATGTAAATGAGTGATGTGTACCTTAAACCTTAATAAACCTCAATGTTCTTCCAATACATTTCTTACTATGTCAATTTGGCTTTGAAAAAAAAGCTTAATGAGCAATCACATGGATTTTATTTTTGGCATTTTGTTTCTAAAGCTTAAGAGAAACAAACATGATGCCACAAAGTAAATGAGAAAATATTTTTATATTCTGGAAGTTGAATGCTGCTTTTCTTACTAGCATACTGATGGGAAGCATGGGCTGAATGGAATCAGAGGTCCGGGTTAGGCCCTGGCTCTACCCTTTAATGCCTGTCCCCTGGGCCGATTTCATGCTCTGTCCAGGCCTGGGTCCTCGGACGTAGCACAGCCCAGCTGTGGGGGCACCAGGGCTCCATCGGATCTGCGGAACCTCCTCGGGAAGCCCTACGGCCTGTCAGGGCAGTTCTTTTCAGACCAGTGCTCTCCCCACATCCAAGGCCGTTGTTACCTGCTGAATTTTGTTTCTTCACTATCTGCTTTTTCCTCACAGTTGGAGAATTTCCCTTTCTTCTCTCAATTTAAAAATTAAGATGTTTTTGAAATAAAAAATACATGCACATGGCAGAAAATTCGAAGGTAACAAAGGAGTGAAAAGTAAGAGTCCTTCCTACTCTCTGTCCCCAGTTTCCAGGCTCCCCCCCCCAAAGGCACCATGATAACCAGGCTCCAAAGGGGCCCCAGTGTGTGTGTGTGTGTGTGTGTGTGTGTGTGTGTGTGTGTGTGTACATTTTCAAGTACCACTTTATATATGCATATGTTATGTAACAGCTTGTCTTCTAGAACACAAACGCAGGCAGCCTGCCGCCCTCACTACACTGCACGTTGCCATATCCGCCTGTGGGCAGTGATGGGCTGCTCGCCTCAGGCGGGTGTGCAGCCACCCCATTCCTCTCTCTGGCTGTTTTTACCGCATTTTGTCCAACTAGTTGCCTTTTGGGGGATGTTGGGATGGAACTGCTGGGTCGAATTTGAAGTGTGGATAGCTAATACCCGCTTGTCCCGATTCGTATCCTCTGCGGTATGAGAATGCCTTCCCCCGCCTTGCCAAGAGAGCCTGGCGGGCACCCCCAAAATAAATAAAGGTTTCTCAGCATTGTTTTGATATGTATTTCACTTACGGTGCCTGAAATTGGGCATCTCTTGGTGTTCCACACGACTGCCATTCGATCCTCCTTCCCCAGGAACCGGCCACAGCTTCTGTTCCTTGTTTCAGTACACATTTTTGCCACTGGTTTACAGGAACTCTTTAGGAAAGGAGCCCTTTGGGACGTGGGTTACGTCTCCCAGTTTGCCTCTGTATCTTTCTAATTTTATTTTACTTTTTACTTGCCAAGAAGAAATGGCATATAATTGTGTAACTGAATTTATCGGTCTTGTCTTTTACGGCTTTGGGGGTCTGTGAGCTACTCTCTAACGCTCCACTCCAAGGCTGTAAATATAACTGACCATGTTTTTTATGTGTTTGTGGTTGTATTTTTACATTTAAATCTTTGAATCATTCGGAATTTATTTGTACACGGAAGTGAGATAGAACCGTGTTTTTTCCAGCTGGTCACTCAGTTGTCCCAACACCATTTATGGGATGATCCATCCCCACTAAAAGTAAAAAGCCACCTTATAATCCAGATTTCTGTTTTAAATTCTATCGTATCCACCTAAGTGGTCCTTTCTGTGCCTTTCAATATTTCTGACCGACAGTCCGTTTCCCGTCCATCCTCCTTAAGAGTTCTGACTGTTTCTAGCCTTAAATCCCACTTCCAATTCCAAGCTCATGGCTGCACGGGGAAGCGCACTCTTCCCCCAGGTTACACAGGCACCACGACACCACGAGGAAACCGATCCTATCCTTCCACACACCTTCTACACGCAAGAGCTTTGGAGCTTCCCGTGCACTGCTTTTCCCAGGCTCCCAGGGACTCAGGAGGCAGTGGGAAGTGGTCAGAGGCCAGGAGGGCAGAGCCGGCTCCCAGCGGGAGAAGGCCGGGCCTGCGTCAGCACCCAGCAACGTGCAGTCCTGACCAGTGCCCATCCCTCGAAGACTGTCCTTCCTTCCGAGGGGGAGAGCCTCCGTTTGCTCACCGGGGGAGCACTGCATCGCCGTCACTAACAGTAAGACAGGTAACGCAGATGATGCCACCAGCCACCTGATGCAGACGTAACCCCCGCTCCCCGGCTCCGCACAGCACAAAGGCTCCACGGGCAGACCTGGGCAGCCTAGGCCAGGACCGCTCCATGCCGTGTGTTGCTCTTGTCCGTGACCTCCCTTAGCCATTCCCTCCTCCCTGCGGCTCCTGGATCTTTCCTAGGGGACACAGGTGTCAGTCCCCAGGAAAGGTAGTAAGGACGACTCAAGTTAACGTACTATGCAGAATTCTAGGGCTGACAAGGCCTGACCCGTGCTCCAGCCCCGATCTCTCCTTTGGCCTGCCACCTGCGGGCCACGTGGTCATTCACGCATCTGCTCCTCTCGGGCACATAAAACTCAACGGGCCTAGTGCTGAACTTACTTCCTTCCAAATAATGCTCCTCATTCACTTTTTCCATTTTGCTTAAATACCATCAACAGTCCAAGCCAGCAATGTGGGACGTGCCCAACAGGAGGTCTTGAAAAATCACTGCTGTGTGTTACGCTTCTGCCTTTCGGCCCGCAGCCTAGTCTGGGAGGCATCTATTTGCCAGGAGAGATTAGAATTCATTGTAGAAAAATGCAGAGGTAGCACTTCTGTCTGGAAAAGCCAAGCTGTTGTTTTGAGAGATCTTCCAAGTTTCTCTAATGCTATTTAGCATATCAAAGGTATAACATGAGCTTGGAGGAAGAAGGATGATATAAAAGTCCACCCTTTTGGGCTGTGGGAATGGCGGGAAGAAAGAGGAAAAGCAAGAGAATGAAGCCACCATAATGAATGGTTCAACATGTGTGTGCTGCGGGCATCAGGTGAATGAAGAGATGATGAAGGCAGGAGGTGGGGTTCTGGGCCCACCGTCCATGGTGGGAGGGAGCTCAGCCACAAGGGAACTCGGTTCTTTGCCCAGTAGCCAGGAGAAGGTAGGCCCACTGACCAGCAGGTGGAGGCTTGGAGAGGCCTAGATTGGTTTCAGACAAAATCATTACATTTTCTCTGCACATCTTTTTTTTTTTTTTTTTTTTTTAAGGTTTCTTATTTATTTTTGAGAGAGTGTGTGAGCAGGGGAGGGCAGAGTGAGAGGGGGACAAAGGACCTGAAGTGGGCCAGACAGCAGAGAGCCCGATGTGGGGCTTGAACTCACCAACCATGAGATCTTGACTCGAGCCAAAGTCTGACGTTCAACCGACTGAGCCATCCAGGCAGCCCTCATCTATCTATCTGTCTATCTATCTATCTATCTTTATTTATTTATTTAGAGAGGGGGGTTGGGGCAGAGAAAGAGAGAGAGGGAGAGAGGGGATTCCAAGCAGTCTCTACTCTGTCAGCATGGAGCCTGATGGGGGCTCCATCCCATGAACCCTGAGACCATGACCTGAGCCGAAATCAAGAGCCGGATGCTTAACCGGTGGAGCCACCCAGGCGCCTCTCTCTGCACATCTTAATAGCTGTGTGGACTAGAGCCTGGAGGCATTACACTTGTTCTACCCTTTCCTTCCCCCTCACTCCCACGTAGGATCAGCATGCATCACGTCCTGTCACTTTCACTTCTGTAAGTAATATCTTTCAAATGGATCCCGGTCTCCTTTTCTCCCCTGCCACCGCCTGAGTTCAAACCCTAACTGCCTTTTGCCGGAAGTACTGCGCTGCGTTAGTCCGGCGTCTCCCCCTCCCATCCCTCCCTCATCGGGGAGGGCTTCCCAAAACACAAAGCGGTCACACGACCTCCCTGATCAAAACACACCCTGCAGGATGCATTTCGGACTGGCGGCGTTGCTCCTAAGGCCGAACCTGGCTCCCGCTCCCTCTGCAGCCACTGCCGGCCACGCACAAGCACACCCGCCCTCGCGCTTCTTCAGGCTCTTCCCCCTTCCCATCAGCCACTGCTTCCCTCGGGACCACCCTCGTCCTCGCTCTTCCACTGAGGAGGCCTCTTCC